CTGGCTACGAAGTGCTTCAGTGTTAAGCAATGTTCTATTTAGCTTAAAGCACATTCACTCGTTCAAACTTTCTCGAATGCCATATCTGTTGTTTCGTAGTTGAAACGTTGACAAACCAATTTCTAAAGAATTATCCTTTTTTTTATAAATCAGACGTATTTCTATATCTTCAAATGTTATTTTTAGTGGATACTCCTGTTTGAGTAGACGCTCCGTTCTTTTAATCTCTGTTTATTTCATTTATCGGCCTGCACATCCACACACACACACACACACACACACACACACACACACACACACACACACACACACATACATACATTTGCATCCAATACCTTGGTTTCAACCTTACGGTATCCTCAGGCGATTTTTAGCAAATGACCTCATAACGCTAATAAAAGTATAAAATTATCATTAAATATATAAGAGCAGTAAGGCAAAAATCTACACCACTAGTTTGTTTGGGTTTTTCTTTTACCCATGGACCACTTTTACTACTCTTAATATTTTGGGGAGGACACCCATAAACATTCGATAATAGAAAGCTTATTTTATTTTCTACTAATAGATAATTTTAGTAATTGCATTATAGAAATAATAAATATATATGCTTTATTTTGAAGTAAATCTAATTTAATGAAAATAAACTTGTATTTAACAACTAAATTCTATGGCACATTTACGCACACTAGTAAAATAACTCATAATATACCAGTGGATAAAGGCGTTGGTTAGATCCAGTGACAGACCCAAAGAAGGTGAGTTCAATACCTGGTTAAGGCAGTGGAGAACTTTCAGAGGGAAAATTAGCAGGAGATAACTGATAACTGACATCCATCAAACATGGCACGTGGAACAAGAACAGTCTACCCCAGTGATCGAAATAAAGGGTTCAGTTCGAAATTCCAACCACCTGAAGAAGGCCGGAGCGTACAACGGCCGAAACGTTGTGACAAATATGGCGACAAAGATGAGGACAATAGTCCGACTAATGTAAATACTGATCTATAGTTTGTGGTTTACTGGGAAGTAGAAATGTTTTGTTAATTTTAATGCCTTCGAAACGAAGCATCTCACTTTTATTCGTCTTAGAGAACCCTCTTTGACTTCCATGAGTATGGCTGATGCTAACCTCCAGAAGAATGACTTATTTCGCCATCTCGAGCTAGGGAATGGGACGCTCCGGCGTCGCTGATTCAGTGTAGCCGATTCGACATAGGAATTTTTCAACAGAGGACGATTAGGCGTCAGATTATTATTGAAAGTTGGGTGTTTTCAATGCTTTTATCCTTTTCATGATGAAGGGGGTGCCTCCGGTCAAAAGACAGTGACGTCGAAACAGTTTGACGCCCTAACGACTGTGCCGAATAGTCCAATAATTTCTCTGACGCCAAATGGGCGACGCCGAAACATAACTACCCCCGACCCCAGGCTAACGTTTTCTACTGACACGAAGTTGAAAGATTATATCGAATCAATTGCTAGGTCTTCTGCTAGGAAAACTGTTTCACTGTGTCGTGCTAGACAATTGTTCTTGCCAGAATCTATGTCACACATTTATAAATCTACTATTCGTCCATTCATTGAATATTGCTATCATATCTGGTCTGGCGCTTCTTTTATCTATTTAGAGATTCTTGATAAAATCCAAAGAATCTGCAATGTTATCACTACTGACCTGGCATCTCGGTTACAGGCATTTTCCATCGACATTTTTTTCTATAACTTTTTTCATGGTAATTGTTCTAATTGTATTTCCTCTTTTGTACCCCGACCTTACAAATTTATGCACAATACTACAGTGTATTCCTAATTATATCATTTACCTCCACAGATTAAACATGGTTTTGTCGAAATAAGAAAGAGCTGACTTCTTTTTCTGGGGTATTCTCAAGGAGAAGGAAAAATGAAAATCACAGATGCAACACATTTGACTGAAAGCATAAAGAGTGAATGTGCTGAAATTTTAATGCATCCAAAACAAAATTGCTGTCTTTTAAACGTCTGAGAGGACTTATTTTTACCTTCCATCTGCATGGCAGATGCTAACCTCTAGAAGAATAATTGCTTATGACTTCTCGGGCTAACGTTTTCCCCTGACATGAAGTGGAAAAACTACACTGAATCAATTACTAGGTTTGCTGCAAGAAAGGTTGCTTCACTGTGTTCTGCTAGAAAGTTATTTTCTTGCCAGTATCTATCTTCCATATTTATAAGTCTACCATTCGTCCATGCATTAAATGTTGCTGGCATATCTGGTCACGTGCTTCTTTTATACAGGGTGTCCATAAAGTCTTGGACACATGCAGGAAATCTCATTAACTATATATTTTTTTTTACATGCACAAATTAAACATGGTTTTGTCGAAAGAAGAAATAACTCAATGAAAATCACAGATGCAACACACTTGATTGAACTCATAAAAAGTGAGCGTGCTAAAATTGACGTCAGTATGCATCGAGTTCACGTGAATCTTGCAAAGCTCATCACAAATGATGGAAATCATATTGAAGATGTCTTTTGTTAATATTCCAATTCGGTAAGATGCTGTTGAAAATTTAATTTCTTGAAAATATGCATTTTTGCCGATGTGTCCAGATACATTAGAGTCATTAGATTAGTAAGTAGAACTCTTTATTTTACAGCTGAAATTGTTAGATATAACCGTAAGTTCTATGCTAATAGCTTCTTCTATCACACTTTTCGCTTTTATTCCGGCTTTTTTCTTTCCAATCAACTTTGATCTTTCGTCAATCGTTATCTTTTGTCTTCTTAATTCCTGTTCTTTTTTTTTTCGTCTCTCTCCTTAATAATTGAACCTGTATCCATTTTTCCATCAAGAAAATCCCCTCTAGAGCCAAAACGTGCCTCTAACAGTTTGGTTACGGAGAAAAAGGATATAGGTTGCATTTCTGTCAGGAGACCAAATTTATATTGTGTCTTCTCGCTAGGCGTAAATTACACCGCGCAGACAAAAGGTGTAAATTGCAGTACGAGTATCCACTAAAAAAACACATTTAGGGTAATCTCTCTCTCTCTCTCTCTCTCTCTCTATCTATCTATCTATCTATCTATCTATCTATCTATCTGTGTGTGTGTGTGTGCATGCGTGCGTGTGCGCATGCGTTTGTCAGTAACGTTTAGGTGTGACTAACAATGTTTAAAAGTTTATTGATTATGACTGCATTGCGACAGGTTTTATAGTCTGTATCTTTAAAGCAAATTTTGTGAAAAGCACAGTCTAGATCCAAATGCGACGCTGTGTATACGTTTGGCACTGGAAATATATCACCTCTGGTATATTGCCGCTAAGGACAAATGAGGCGACGAGCACACTATATTTAAAAAAATATATATAAATATCTTTATTGTCCGAGTTGCGGCGAATGGGTTAAGTGAGGGAGAATCACAGAGCTTAGGATTGCGCACACAGAAATTGACGGAGACAAATTTTAGGTGAACCTGTAGCCAGCCTCTCTTTCAAGATGAAAAATCGGACTGGTTAAATAACATTTGGGCACCTACGTAACTTCATGTGGCTACGCCTTCTTCAACTATATCGCCTACGCAACCTTGTGTGGCCACGCCTCTTCCAGTATGCGCCTACGCAACCAAACATTTCTTTCCGTCCTGTTTTTCAAGTCTCAGGGCACCTATGCGTCCTGTTTACTTTAGCCAATGAATGCATTTCCTGTTTATGCTATTACCAATTCCGATTTCCGCTCACAAACTGATGCAGCTGAACTAAGGCTAAAGGTCTTTCCTCAACTGATATCCAACATCACCTACTATAAACTCCTTCCTTAGAATCAAACGATTGATTCGAACAAGTACCGCTCCCAGTTAGACCAACTGATGGCAGTAATCGGCGAAAATCATACGTTGCTGGTCAAGTGGAAAGTCGCGATCGCTCTTCCGAATAACGCCATCCTATATGATTTCTTTCGGTGGCTAATAAAAACATTGTTGCAGATTGTTTTGGAAATTCTTGCTCACGTGTCGTATTTAACATATACTGCACTTTCAGAATTTCTATTCATTTAGGTCTTTAACAAATTCTCTAAAGAAAAAACAAAAGAGAATTATCGTAGAAGATTTCCAAAGGCGTACACAGCTGTAACCTTTGCCAAGAAAACAAATATAACTCTAGCTAAAAGATGGCAGATATTAGTTCTTACTTTCTGTTGTAACCTAGAAAAGATTACTGCATGAGGAATAACCAAAAAGGATATGGTAATCTGTATAACATCAACAAAATACAATACTCGCCAGCGGCGTGAAGTAGGTAAACCACTGCTAGTGATGGACTACTTAGACAGCATATTACCCCCACTTACAATAGCGCCCAATGTATTTATGAGGATTCGGACATACCCATTAGTGCTCATAGGTACGGTATATAACAATTTCAAATACAGATAACTACTAAAAATAACGTTTAAAGTAATATATGTAAATATATAGATACCCTATGTATGTGTTTATAATTTTTACTAGTTTGCCTATTCCATCAAAAATAATGAAATATAAAAAATAACACTTATTATTATTATTATTAAAAGGTTTTTTTTACGTGTGTCTTTAAATATATTTTCCAATTGTTACATTAATATGAGGTTAATAAGGGAAGATCAGTTTACTACTGAAAATCAATACAAATCGGATCGCCCACTTTATTTCCACTTCAATCTAATTGCTAGCTTATCCATGTTGACATGAATTGCGACATTTAAAATAGTTTCATTTTAATATAGCTATTTCGTTATTAATTACTATTATTAAAACGTGGTCATCTGTAATTTTTTACATATATTTTTCCATTTGTTATTTTTGCACGCTGCCCTCTTTCATGGAGTTGAATCTATTTCAATCTTTTCATTATCTATCTATATATCTATCTATCTATCTATTGGAATAGATAGGTTTGAATAATAGTAGATATGTTCGCCTACCGGATGTTTCACACTCCTCTCCGGTCTTTTGAACAGGAGTAAAGGGTTGTCCCGTGTTTCCTGCTTAGAATTGAGTTTCCGGTTCCTTCTCTAATATATATATATATATATATATATATATATATATATATATATATATATATATATGATAAATTTACTAATTTAAAATATGGTCCCATCGCTACACAGGAATTACCATGTTTCAAAAACAGAAACTAAAACTTTAAATTTAATTATAAAATTAAATTAAAATCCCTAGATCTGTTTCATTCTCAAGCGATTTTTTGGAATTTCCAAAAATCACTTGAGAATGAAACAGAACTAGGGATTTTAAGAATAAGAATAGATAGATAGATAGATAGATAGATACTACTGAAAATCAATATAAATCGGATCGCCCACTTTATGTAGGATGTAAAAGTAGGTATGCATTAATGAAAAACAAAAAGTTCACACAAAATGTATTGGGTATACAAACTGTTGTAATCTAGAAAAGGTTACTGAATTAGGAATAACCAAAACGGATGTTGGAAATGAAATGGTAATCTTTATAACATCAACAAAATACAATACTCACCAGCGGCGCGAAGTAGGTAAACCACTGCTACTGGTGACAACTTATTACCCGCACTTACAATTGTGTCCAACGTATGTATGAAGATTGGGTCATACCCATTGATATTCATAGGTACGATATATAACACTATTTATTTCTGTTCATTATCTATCTCTCTATCTATGTTCATTATCTATGTTCAATATCTATCTATTGTAACTTATGAAGTGTTACTGAATGAGGAATAACCAAAACGGAGGTTAGAAATGAAATGGTAATCTTTATAACATCAACAAAATACAATACTCGCCAGCGGCGTAAAGTAGGTAAACAACTTCTAGTGGTCGATTACATAGACATCTTATTACCCCCACTTACAATAGTGTCCATCGTATTTATGAGGATTGGGACATACTCATTAGTTTTCCTAGGTACGGTATATAAACGTATTGTAACTATTTCTTCTTCAGGTGATATACGCTGGAATTTCGAATCGAACCCTTTATTCTGTCCACTGGGGTAGATTGTTCTAGTTCCACATGCTATGCCTTTTCTGGATGTCTCAGGTTCAGTTATTTCTCTTTAGTAACTCAACTCCCCAAGTTTTTGTTCAGCTCCTGTGGCAAGGTATTGAATTCACAAGTCAAGAAAAAAAACAAACAGTCAAAAGGACTCTCTGTGATTGTTAGCTTTTATTTGTGGCAACTTTATACAACACTTTGCAGTCTTCTGTTTGAAGAAACTTTTTTCTGCCAATATTTCTGAGATGAGATATTGTTGTAACCTAGAAAATGTTACTGAATGGGGAATAACAAAAACAGGGGTTGGAAATAAAATGGTAATCTTAATAACATCAACAAAATACAATATAAATAAGTAGGTAAACCACTGCTAATGGTCGACTTAGACAGCATATTACCCGCCACTTAGAATAGTGTCCAACGTATTTATGAGGATTGGGATATACCCACTGATATTTATAGGTATGGCATATAACACTTTTTTTTTTTTTTTCTAAGTGCTGCCAGGATTCGTTTTTGGCGGCCATAATCTTGACGTAAGATATACAGATTACACAGTGTTGATAGCAGATACGGAAAGAAAACTACTAAAATTCCTACAGAAGGTAATGAAGGAAAGCGAAAAAAATATCAAAGTAACAATTGCAAGAAGATAGAATGCATAGTTGTCAGCAGAACGAACAGCCCAACATGTAAATTAAAAATTGGAAATACTAAAATCAAATAAATCCAAAAATTTGAATATCTGAAAAGTATTTTGACTGAGAATAGAAAGTGCGACACTGAAATCCGAAGACGCATTCAGTTACGTAATATATGTCCTTCGGTATGGAAGTGAATGCTGGACAATGAGGAGGAGATTGAGGCAGAAAAATGTGGGTCCACAGAAGGATACTGAGGATACCATAATTATTTCTCGTATTAATTAAGTTAATCTTTCACCTATGTGTGTGTGTATATACGAACAGTGATAGATAGATAGATACCGACAGAGATAGATAGATAGATAGATAGATAGATAGATAGATAGATAGATACGAACAGAGATAGATAGATAGATAGATAGATACCAGCAGAGATAGATAGATAGATAGATACGAACAGAGATAGATAGATAGATAGATAGATAGATTATTATACTCTTGTTTAAGCGTAGATGGGGAATAACGGAGAGAATCTTTGTAAAAATGTCGACTTGTAAACTGCGCTACTGAGTTAGTTTGTTCGATGGAAATATAAAGATTACATAAGAAAGGCGACTGACTCTCTCTCTCTCTCTCTCTCTCTCTCTCTCTCTCTCTCTCTCTCTCTCTCTCTATCTATCTATCTCTTTCTCTCTCTATCTCTCTCTCTCTCCCCAGATCGAATAAAAAGCGAGAGTACAAAAGTGCGCACGTGCGGGCGGGTGAGAGAGAGAGAGAGAGAGAGAGAGAGAGAGAGAGAGAGAGAGAGAGAGAGAAGATAAGAGACTGAAACGTCATCGCAAATTCACTGCACTCCTGATCCGTGGACATCAAACCAAGCACTTGAAATCACATGCGGGCCTTTTTTTTCCCACCTCTCCCTTACCGCGGCTCTACACGCACGTCCAAGCCACCGAAGGGGTGATTAGTTTGTGATCGTTCTCTTGTCTTGTGGGACTAAGTATTAAGACTGTTTAAGGGGCCGGAGTTAACTCTGCGAGTGCCTCGTGCCCCCAGACTGGGCAACAAATCGCTAAGTGAGAAAGGCGGGACGTATTCTTGAATCAGTGACCGCTTGAAAATGAAAAGGGGTGGGGATCGACTGTAAGTATTCATTTAAACATACCTGCATGAAATGGAATTTTAAAGAAAAGAAATACAAAAAAAAAAAAAAAAAAAAGAATACAGAAAACAAAGAAAATATCCACTTCAGCCTGGTGTCTCCTCCGAGACAAATGTCAATATATATATATATATATATATATATATATATATATATATAATCATTTATTCGAAAATCATAACATAAAATATTATAAAATCACTACAAAAATAGCCATTTTGTTTCGACACTTCTGGTGTTGAATGTAGAATAAAGGTTTTTTTTTAAAAATCCTTTATTCTACATTCAACACCACCACTTAAGAAGACAACAGAAGTATTGAAAGTGTTGTAGAGATTTTATAACATATTCATGTTATGATTTTTGAATAAATGATTATATTTGCTCTACTCTGTATTGAACACTCTTTTAAGAATAGTATTTGTTGGTTATTTTGTTATTTATTATATATATATATATATATATATATATATATATATATATATATATAAAGTCATCCACAGACAGACTGTTTCGCTGTTTCACAGCTCTTCAGTGTGGCTAGACATCCGGTTGCCTCTAGCCGATGGCCAACACATCTTCCGTTTCATTTTTGACACCCCCACCTTTCCCCGACTTGACACCTTGAAAGTATCTCTATACCGCTACTTATAAACACCCTACACTCGCCTACCCAATTTAGACAATTCACGATAGCTGTTACCATGGGGATTTTGATTTCAATTTTAAAACAAGTAAATTTCAGATATACGTTATTCCAACAAAAATTTCGCTTGAAGATGGAACGGAGCCCATTTTACTTTCAACTCAATTTAATTTAAAGGATTATATTGACGTTTTCGGCTCTTGTTTTGAAACATGAGACCTCTTATGTAGCGATTTGGAATCATATTTTTAAATAAATAATTAAATTTATGCTCTACTTTTGTATCGAGCACTATTTTTTAAAAATAATAACTAAAATACTAAGGAACTTTGGATTATTTACCTAACCAGTTCCTTCCTATTTTCTATATATTTTCACACACACACACACACACACACACACACACACACACACACACACACACACACACACATATATATATATATATATATATATATATATATAGAAAAACATAGTTTTAAGGTGTGCTATATTATGGGATAAAGTGGTCAATATCAGAGATAGAGTGTATGTAAATATAAATATAAAAGTGAACATTGAAGTCAACACTCAAAGGCGACAGGCTTTTTCATGCTGGACGCAATCGTCAGGCCGCCTGTCGCCTCTGAATGTTGATTTCAATGTTCATTTATATATATATATATATATATATATACTAGCAGCATGGCCCGCCGTTGCCTGTGCTTGATTCAAAAATCGTACGACTCATACAGCAATCGCTATCACTTGACTTAAAATATTTTTGCCCTTCCTTGCCTTTAAAGGAGTGACCTTTGCCGTGCTAATGTTGCTACATGCCTTACTTCTTGCCTATCTCACACTGCGAATTTTTTCTAAGCTCTCTACTAAACATTAAATCTGTTACGAAAAAAGAACTAAACAAAATGAACACAAAACGATCAGCTTTAAAAAAGGACTCATAACTGGAAGAACCGAATGAAAAAAGAATGTTAACAACAAATACTTTTTCACATCCAACCCAGTTCTGCGGAATCAGAATCAACGTTGAGTTTAAGCAAGCGAATGAGCCAATTGGAGTAAAGTGCCATGCAGATTTAAATTTTTCCCAGTTGTGACGAATGCAGCTATCGATTTTTTTGCATGCTAGTTAACATTCGTGTCAGTCACGCTGGTCAATAGAATCTTCCTGCCTATTCGTCGAAGCCAGCTGTAGGTTCCCACTCTGGCCACTATAAATTGGCAGCAAACTACATGAAAACTGCCGTAGAAGCATGAAACAATAGATTATTGCCACTATCGATGGGAGTTGGGAAATGCAAAGTCGGTCTTGGCTATCCCGCTAAGTTGGAGCATGTGCATGTAAATTTTGGTGCAAATCCGTCGAAAATTGCGGCCGTGCATTTGTCACACACACACACACACGCACACACACACACACACGCACACACACACGCGCACGCGCGTGCACACACACTCTGCCTTTTATATATATATATATATATATATATATATATATATATATATGTGGTGGAATCTCCTGTCGTATTCGATGTATGAGGGTCAAGCAGCTCAATTCCTATATATATATTACTCATTTTACCCCAATTAAAGCAATAAGTCCAATAAGACGCAATGGGGTTATTGAGTGTAAGAGAATATGAGAAAAATAAACTATTAAGAAGAGAGAAGAATAAAAAGACAATAATTAAGAAGACATAAGATAACACTGCACTTATAATTTTGAAGATCAAAGGTGACTGGGAAGCGAGAAGTCGTACGAGAGTTGCAGAAGCAAGAATAGGATAGAAACTGTTAGCCTAGAAATTAGGGTTACATCTCGCTATTTCAATTGTAAAATTATGAGACTTTGTCTCCAATCTAATACTGCGCTTAAATTCGTAAAGTCTAGGTACCATAGAGATACTTAGACTTTACGAAACTGCTAATTTCAAACAAAATGAATATCTCTCTGACTGAAACATCGAATATCAAAGCAAAACCTCGACCATTTGCTATGATGACACATTACAGAGGAGCGCAAAAAATTTCAGCAAACATATCCCAGATTTCCATTCACTAAATACAAGGCCCAATACCTACTCCAGATAGTGTGTCCAGTATATTTTTATTTGTTGTTTTGTTTTTTTTGTATTTTTGATTGTGTTTGTTTTTTCATTTTTTTTTTACTATTGCTTGTTTTTCTTTCTTAGTTTTGTTTTTATTTCTTTGTAGTTTGTTTGCTTTTTTATTTTTGTTCGTTTTTTATAGGAGTAGATAAGCACATTACAACCAATCGTTACCATAGCCCCGTCTATAATCCCTACCCACTTCTCTTGAATAGAAGTAGAGTCTCATACCTTGTTTCCTGTTTAGGAAGTGGTTCTCGGTTCCATTCCATTTTTTTTAGACCTTAACATTGGTGCTGTCATGATTTTTTGTGTTGTGTGAGAATGGTGGCAGCGTCCATTGATACTGAGAGTACCAGGTTGGCAGTTTTCTGGTTAGTGCATCTCGACTGGCATTTAGGAGCTCGAACTCTTGCGTAGCGTCTTGAGAGGCTGCTCTGATCAACAGTCGCATAATGTCGGTATTTTTTTTTTTTTTTTGCAGTGCCATGTCGCGCGGGGAAGAGTGTCTCTGCAAGCTTCTCCGGTGGGCAACACCAAGTCTGCAGTCTGCGCCATTTCCCTTCCTGCAAATCTTACATTAGATGACCGACTACTAATACTACCCTCGGCCTTTCCTTACCAAAACAACACACTATGACTATAAGCTACCAAAGATATAAAACTAAACCAACTCAGTAAAATTCACCTAAACTCTTCAACCTTTCTTTCTCCAACATTAGTGGAATTCGTACCAACTTCTGAAGTGTGGAATCGTTCCTCTTCAAAAAGTCTTCGGACATCCTGGCTCTCTGTAAAACTAATCTTATCTCATCAATCCCCTCCTCTGATTTCTCGATTCCTGGCTATCGTCCTCTCCTTAGGAAGGACTCACATGTCCACATGCATGGCCTGGGAGTTTATGTCCGCGAACATCTGCCGCTGGTTAGGGAATTCTCACTTGAATCTCCACACCACTCTTACATGTGTCTCCGTCTCTCTCTACTTAACTGAATCAGCTAACTCTTCTTTCTCTACCGTTCCCCTTCCTCTCATGACTGTTGCTAGATAGTATTTCTGATAATATAGACAATGCCGTCTCCTTACACCCGTTTGCAAATATATTTGTTTGGTGACTCTAATGTCCACTATGGCAGGTGGATTAAACATTCTGTCACTGATACCGCTTTAATTTCTCAATCATTTAATCTCTCACGTAAGTGGTAGATTTCTCCAGAGCTTTGCCCCAGTAACATTGACAGACATGGCCTCTTCTTGATATTTTTTTTACCACTATTCCGGATTCATTTCGCACTATGCAGCTATGTCCTCTTGGCAACTCTGATCATGCGTCTGTAAACATCTCTGCCCTCTTGGCAACTCTGATCATGCGTGTGGAAACATCTCTTTCCGCTCCTCTACCAGCCAAGAACCTCCTACCAATATAATATCTTTCCGTTATCAACGAGCGGATTGAGACTCATTCCGTGACATCCGGATTGAGCAGTTTTTAATCATTCTGTTCATAAATGCGCGTTTGAAGTTTCCTCCTGGATGATAGCCGGCCTCGGTGCTTTCATTTCAACAAGAAAATACCAGGTTAATCCGCATTCATCTCCTGCATGCTCGGTCGTTATAGCCCACAGGAATCACTTTTATCTGACTGACACCTCTTTGTCTCTGTTCGTAACAAGTGCAAGCGTATTCTCAATGAAGTGAAGTTACTGTTTGCTGATAAAATGAAACAACGGATAGCATCTCGCAATTTCGGCTCTACAGGTTATTGGCGTCTCTGCAAGAGTATACTGAACAGCAGAAAGTCCTCAATCCCTCCTCTATTCAACCAATTCGAAGTCCTGGCATCAACAGTTGAGGTTGAATGTTTTGCTCGGAAATTCTCTTCCAACTCAATCGTCGACTTATTCGGAGTACCCACACCTGATCTCCCTCCTAGAACAGAGGCACTATTGAGTGATATGCGCATAACCCCGTCACTGGCCTCGGATATTATTTCTAAATTATAGGCAAACGGAGGTGATGGGATCCCAGCCGCCATCCTAAAGAAATGTGCTCCCGAGCTGGCTCCAGTTCTCGCCAAACTCTACAACTATTGCTTTACTGCTTCCTGGCCTTCCTACTTGTTGGAAGTCCTCATCTGTCTTTAAAAACTCTGGAGAACCTTCTGATCCCTCTAGTTATCGACCTATTAGTCTCCTTCCGGCAAAATATCTGTGGTTTTAATCAATTCTGAAGTGCTTAAGAATCTTATCTCTCATGACATACTCTCTGACAAACAATATAGCTTCCGTTTTGCTCTGTCTACTCCTGAGGTGATAACGCCTATCACTGAATATGTATAGCAAGTTCTTGATAATTGATATCTAGAAGCCGTTTGACAGGGTTTGGCACACTGGTCTTCTACGTAAGCTCCAGGGCTACGGTATTACTGGACGATTGTTTGATTTTATCCAATTGTTCCTATCAAATCGTGAAATGAAGGTCGTTTTGAACGGGCCCACTTCCAGATCCTTTCACACGAATGCGAGGGGGGGTGTCCCCCAAAGCTTTATCCTGGGTCATATGCTGTTTCTGGCCTTCGTCAATGATCTTCCTGATGTCGTCAGTTCTCATGTAGGCATTTATTTTGATGACATTACCATTTACTGCTGTCTCAATAGAAAATCCATCAGAGCTAACATAGTTAGCCTGGCCGCTGCTTTTGAAAAGTACCTAAGTCTGTGGTTAACTGGAAATGCCTCGTAAATTTTAATGCCTTCAAAACGAAACTGCACTCATTTCACTACCAGAGAGAAACTTTCCTGTCCGCCATAGGCATGGCTTATGCTAAACTCATGGAGATCAACACACTGCGCTTTCTTGGCCTCAGGTTTTCGGCTAACTTGAGGTGAAACGACTATATCGAATCAATAGCTGCATCTACTGCAAGAAAATTTGGGTCACTATTTCGTGCCAGCGAGTTTTTTCTCGTCAGAGTCAGTCTTGCACATTTAAAAATCTACCATTAGTCTGTGCATTCAATATTGTTGCCATATCTTGTCTGGTGCTTCTGCTACTCATCTCGAGGTTCTTGACAAAATCCCAAAAAGGATCTGTGATGTAATTGATCCAGTCTTGGTATCTCGACTTCAGTCACTTTCTCACCGTTGTGATGTAGCGTCCCTCTGTCTTTTTTACAAATATTTTCATAACTACTGCTCTGACGACCTTTTTTTCTTGGTGTTGTTCATGATGACGGTCGTCTTTGAGTATAGAATCCAGAGGTTAGCAGTGAATATTTCGAAGACAGTAGAAAAGCGTTGTTCAGGTTAGCAGTGGATATTTTGGTAAAAGTAGCAGAGCATAGTTCGTCCTTCTGTTTCTCTTCGCCTGACAAGCTGGACTGGACATTCGGGTAGAGTAGACAAAATGGCCGCCTTTATACACGACGGATTGAATATTCTACGTCTTCTGATTGGTTAACCTTCTATTGGTGGACTATAAAGTGAGTCAAGTCATTTGGGCTAACTCACTAGTTACATATATACACAAAAAACTGCAACAGTTGGTGACTGGTGTACTTGAGTTTAAGCGTGGTGCTAGATTGGTATTTAGGCCCCACCCTTCTACTATGGAATTAGTTAAATGCAATTGCTTTTATCCTTTCCTCATTCCCCACTATACCCAGTCTTTTCTCTCAGTTTCACTCTATGTGAATCGCTACAAGCCTGCTTAAATGCTTTTGAACTCTGTCAAGGCTGGAAAACTCCAGCCCAGCTATAATGACAATAATACATTTTTGGTCAGATCTGTAAATATACAATGTCATCATCAGAGTGTTGTTTATTTCAAGAGTGATGAATGATGAAGGATGCGTCCAACATTTTTAAACATTCAGAACAGCGTACCTGTCCAAATTTGTCTTTGAAAATGATGAACACTACAATATTTGTGTTGAAATAAACAACACCCTGATGATGACATTGTGCTAATGTCGAAACTACTCGTAATAAAATAATATATATCAATACGGTAATTTTATCCCTTCCTTTAATAATGACACTAAACAGCTTGTCCGTGAATATGAAAGGATCCAATTGAAAATAAGTAGACAAAACTTGTATAATCATTCAAGGAAATATGTCTCAATGAAAACGTGCTGCCAAAATATACGAAATATATATATATATATATATATATATATATATATATATATATATATATATATATATATAAGGAAGAGGCTATAATTGTCACAACGAGAAAAAAAGTGTATATTTTAAAAAGAAGCGAGAAACCGCAAACGTTTTTGGCTGTTGATTTTTTTTAAATTTTCAAAAAATTCAACCTTAGCGTTGCGACTGCCCGCTCCATAACACATTTCTAACAAAAACATATTTCGATTCGCATTTAATTTTTCGTGTCCGTTATTAGCTGGATATACTAAAAAAAACAAAACAATTTCCATGCCTGAGGATGGCTGAATGTACAGCCGAAAGTACTTGCAGAATTTAAAAAAAAAGACCTTATACAACATAAGATATGCAGATGACACAGTGCTGATAGCAGACATAAAAAGGAAACTACGGGAAAACCTACGGAAAATAGTAAAGGAAAGCTAGAAGAAAGGATTCAACACCAATTCTAAGAAAACAGCATTTATTGTTGTCAGCAGAAAGATGCAAACTCCGTATTAGTGACAGCAAAAACAAGCAATTGCCAAAAATTTAAATATCTCTGTAGTGTTTTAACACAGGACGAAAATGCAAAATATGAAGGTGTATTGGAATGGCGAAAGATGCCTTCCAAAAGCTGAGCAAAGTATTAAGAAACACGAAAATTTCACAAGTAAGAGTAAAGTACTGAACTGTTATATAATATCGATCCGTCTATATGCCAGTGAATGCTGGACAATCTCCTCACAGATGAATAAAAGACTTAAAGCAACAGAAATTTTATTCTACAGAAAGATGCTGAGAACCCCATGGACTGAATATGTTTGTAACGAGGAAATTTTTGAGAAAAGCAACAATGAAAATGTCTAGAGAACATAAAGAGAAGAGAAGGTTTGGAGAATTTGAAACTTAGAGGATATATTGAATCCAAGTAATACAAAGGAGAGCAGTAAATAAGCTATCGAAAGTTTGTGTAAATGGTTGACAGAACAGAGATTAAGAGAGATAACAAAAAGATAAAATTTATTAATAACTCCAAAAGACAGGAAAGTGTGGAGAGCCATGGTCTCCGACGTCCTGAAGGGTCACGGCAGAAAAAGAACGAGCTTTTCTAAATGGTTGGCAGAACAGGGATTAAGAGAGATAACAAAAAGATAAAATTTATTAATAGCTCAAAAGGACAGGAAATTGTGGAGAGCCATGATCCATGACGTACTGAAGAGTTACGGCAGAAAAAGAACAATCTTGTTTAAATAGTTGAATAGAACAGGTATTAAGAGAGGCAAAATTGACTAAGAGTTACAAAAGACATAATACTGTGGAGAGCCTATATTACCTACGACCTGAAGGGACACGGCACAACGAAGAATAAACGTAAAATAATCATGTCGACCGTCTAAACTGATTTTGCAGACACACATTTCATGTTTCCAATCATGTACGTGCGCACAACATAAAATTATTATTCTTGCCTCGCGTAGACAAAGGCACACTCTTTACGGACACTCAAGGTGGCATCGTCTCAGATAAGCCGACACGTGCGTGTATTCGCCAAATTTCAATTACCTTTTCCAACGCACCCACATCTACACTACCTTTTTGTTGCAGGTGTCTTTAACATAAAAGGTTCAGTTCACCCTTTAAAAAAAAGGCATGAATTTTTGGCTGTCAATTGATTGTTTTATGTAGTTTCATTTGAGAGAACATAGCTATAATGGTGACAATTAAAAACAACGGGGGGTTAGCTGGTCTCTTCCGTGATAGAGGACGGCTCCCGAAACGCAAAGAAAATAAGATGAAGACTAAATTAGTGCAATAATAACAATATTAATCAATGCCCTGATGCTACACCAGGCCCGGCTATAATGTCTTCTGATCTTAAATTATTAGAGGTGTTAATGTGCACATATTTACTCTTGGTGGATTAAGATGGGCTACAGTAAATATTCTTTTCGTCGCCAAGGATTTTCTTCTTAGTTGCTTGACTATAACCAGTTATCGTCTCTCCTCGGGACCGACAACTCTGTTCATATGTGGAAGTAATGAGAAGAGCATCATGGCCGAGTTTTGAGAGATAGTTTTTAAAGTTTGATGGAAGAGGCGACCAAAGCGATTTGGGTATCGCGTAAAGAGAAGAACTGAGAAAGACCAGAAGACAATCTCAGCAAATGGACCTAAGGGTATCGCGTCTAGAGAAGAACTGAGAAAGACCAGGAGACAATCTCAGCAAATGGACCTAAGGGTATCGCGTCTAGAGAAGAGCTGAGAAAGACCAGGAGAAAATCTCAGCCAATGGACCTAAGGGTATCGCGTCTAGAGAAGAACTGAGAAAGACCAGAAGAAAATCTCAGCAAATGGACCTAAGGGTATCGCGTCTAGAGAAGAACTGAGAAAGACCAGGAGACAATCTCAGCAAATGGACCTAAGGGTATCGCGTCTAGAGAAGAACTGAGAAAGACCAGGAGACAATCTCAGCAAATGGACCTAAGGGTATCGCGTCTAGAGAAGAACTGAGAAAGACCAGGAGACAATCTCAGCAAATGGACCTAAGGGTATCACGTCTAGAGAAGAGCTGAGAAAGACCAGGAGACAATCTCAGCAAATGGACCTAAGGGTATCGCGTCTAGAGAAGAACTGAGAAAGACCAGGAGACAATCTCAGCAAATGGACCTAAGGGTATCGCGTCTAGAGAAGAACTGAGAAAAGACCAGGAGACAATCTCAGCAAATGGACCTAAGGGTATCGCGTCTAGAGAAGAGCTGAGAAAGACCAGGAGAAAATCTCAGCAAATGGACCTAAGGGTATCGCGTCTAGAGAAGAACTGAGAAAGACCAGAAGAAAATCTCAGCAAATGGACCTAAGGGTATCGCGTCTAGAGAAGAACTGAGAAAGACCAGGAGACAATCTCAGCAAATGGACCTAAGAGTATCGCGTCTAGAGAAGAACTGAGAAAGACCAGGAGACAATCTCAGCAAATGGACCTAAGGGTATCGCGTCTAGAGAAGAACTGAGAAAGACCAGGAGACAATCTCAGCAAATGGACCTAAGGGTATCGCGTCTAGAGAAGAACTGAGAAAGACCAGGAGACAATCTCAGCAAATGGACCTAAGAGTATCGCGTCTAGAGAAGAACTGAGAAAGACCAGGAGACAATCTCAGCAAATGGACCTAAGGGTATCGCGTCTAGAGAAGAACTGAGAAAGACCAGGAGACAATCTCAGCAAATGGACCTAAGGGTATCACGTCTAGAGAAGAGCTGAGAAAGACCAGGAGACAATCTCAGCAAATGGACCTAAGAGTATCGCGTCTAGAGAAGAACTGGGAAAGACCAGGAAACAATCTCAGCAAATGGACCTAAGGGTATCGCGTCTAGAGAAGAACTGAGAAAGACCAGGAGACAATCTCAGCAAATGGACCTAAGGGTATCGCGTCTAGAGAAGAGCTGAGAAAGACCACAATAGGAGACAATCTCAGCAAACGGAACAAACCGACCGGAAAGTACTATTCTATCCGAGGTTCTACACCAGGATGATGAGAATCACATAGACTGAATATGTGAGTAACGAGGAAGTTGTAGGGAAAATGGAAACAAAAAGAATACTTATACTTAGAACCAGAAAAAAAAGACATCTAGGAGACATAATGAGAATAGAGGGCTTGGAGAATTTGACACTTACAAGGTATATTCAATCCAAGAAAGACGGAAGAGCACAATGTATAACCTACCTAACGAATTTGTGTAAATGGTTGGCAGAACAGAACCCCTGCAAGGTTATGCGTTGCTTTTAGCAAAGTCTGTCATCATATCGCACACATTTGGCTGTTATGCATGTGCTCGGTATATCCTTATCAGATTGGGGGTCATGATGGGTATATTGGGCTTCGTATGTTTGTATCCTAACATCACTTCGTTCTCATGCTGCATACACACTAAATATAGACACGTGGCCGAGTGGTTACAATGTTTAGTTTCAGACCATGAGACCCGGGTTCGAATCTAATCATGGTCGATTTATCAGGGAGCTAACTTCTTGATATTATATGGATGCGAGCGATCCCAGCGCGCGGCACCTTTTGAAAAACAATACCGCGACTTGATCCAAGCCTTGTGAGTGAAACTGGGAGCCGTCGACTGTTGTCTTAACACGAAGTCACAAATCATCGTGACCGAGGTTTTCAAAGAAGTGGCATCGTTCAGACTGTTGATCACACCATATAATGTATTCTCTCCCAGAAAATTTAACCAAGGATCGCTCAGTATAGTTGCAGTATAAACTACAGTTGGGCTCTGTGAGTGTTAAACGAACACAAATGTGCCTGAACAGGCGTCTTCAACTGGGATTGGCTACTTGAGTGGCATACTCAGAAACGAGCAACCAGCCACTAGTAATAATCAATAATAATAATAGTTAGAATAAGTTTGGTTCGGTTTGTTTTGATTTACGGCATATCAATCTCAATGAGTTATTTCATGCCGACAAAATTGTTATTGTTGGTAATATTTTTTTTCAAATGTATTGCTGGAATTTTTTTCCTTCAAAAATGAATTGCTGATAATTTTTTTCTTTTTTCAAAAATGTATTGGTGGTAATAATTTTTTCTTCAAAAATTCATTCTTTGTTTTGTTTTGATTTACGGCATATCAACCTCAATGAGTTATTTAATGCCGACAAAATTGTTATTGTTGGTAATATTTTTTTTCAAATGTATTGCTGGAATTTTTTTCCTTCAAAAATGTATTGCTGATAATTTTTTTCTTTTTTCAAAAATGTATTGGTGGTAATAATTTTTTCTTCAAAAATTCATTCTTTGTTTTGTTTTGATTTACGGCATATCAACCTCAATGAGTTATTTAATGCCGACAATATTGTTATTGCTGACAATATTTTTTTTTTTCAAATGTATTGCTGGAAATGTTTTTCCTTCAAAAATCTATTTCTGGTAATATTTTTTCTTCAAAAATGTATCGCTGGTAATAACTTCTTTTTTCTTTTTTTACAAAGTATTTCTGGTATTAAACCCTATTTTTAAACTTTCATGCTGGCAATAATGTATTCCTCTTAATAATTTCTTTCCTTCAAAAATATATTGCTGGTATTTCTTTTTTCAAAACGTATTTCTGGAAATTTTTCTTTCCAAAAAGGCATTTCTGGTATTAAAATCTATTTTTACACTTTTATAGTGAGGTTTAACTATTTGCCCATAACTGGGAGCCTAACAGGTGCTACCACCCCGGGTCAGGGTGGACCTGGGAACACCAGCAATTAAGAGGTGGTTCCACGCTCCTCAAAACCTCCTGATCAGAGGCCTTGCTGTTGGACGTAGTTTATTGTCTAAATCAGGACTCGGATATAGTTCATCGTCATACCCAGGGTGGAGTAAGAATAGGTTGATCTGGTATACTTGGAACACTTCAATATTGCCTTGCAATGTGGCTGGAAGAATTCAAAATCCGATGATAATCCGAAACCGTTCGGATGAAAACATTACAAAAAACAGCGAGAATAATAAAGGCCGTACTGGGGAAGTGAGGAGGCATGTTGCCACTTGATAACCAGTATGAAACCAACACATTACTGCAGGTTTGAAAACCTTAGTCAGTTATGTGCCATGCGTGATACACGCCTAGCTGATCATGTATCGAAAGATACATGACTGACGAGACAGATTTTTTCGCGCAGTAGGTTGCCATTTCTTTCTGCGGTAGATCAGTTGCCATCCAAGGCTACAGAACCCAATCGGTCCTGCTATTTACCCATAACTGGGGGTGGGTGAGAAGAAGAGGATTCATACCTTTCCCAAGGATATTAGCACGTAATGGATCCAACTGGTATTCGAATTCGGCTCTCCGATTCCTCAATCCGAGTCGCTATCTTCTACTATGTGCCCTGTTCTTTTAGGACGAGGACGATAATGGTCGTTCGCAACTTCCTATCCTTTAATAAAATTTGTCTTTTTGCAATCTCTGCTAATTTTCTTCTGCCAACACAAGCTTGTTAGGTAGGTTTTGCACTGTTTTTTTCTGTCCTTGTTACATTCAATGTCCCGACAGTGTCAAATTCTACACGTTCTCTCCCGTCATAATGAAATTTCATCAGACATTTCAACTGTTTCTTTCTGATTCTAAGTATAAGCGCCATTTTGTTTCCATCTTCACTAGAACGTATGCATTTCCGACAGGTTCAGTCCATGGTATTCTCAGCATTCTTCAACAGAACCATATTTCTGCTGCTTCAAGTCTCTTCTTCATCTGTGAGGAAATTGTCCAGCATTCACTGTCATATAGGAGAACTGATATTACGTAACAGTTCAGTACACTTTTTTCTAATGAAATTTTACTGGTTTTTAATACTTTGCTTAGCTTTTGAACGGCATCTTTCGTTATCCCAATGAGTTCTTTCGATTTCGGTGTTGCATGTTCAGTCTTCTATTGTGCATGTGTGTGTTTTAATATTAAAGCGTAAATATGCATTTATTTTAAGATAACAGCCTAGTAAACAGATATTAGAGATGTAATATTAAAACACACACTCTCTCACACGCACAGGCACACACGAACACACACCGAACTGTAATGGACGCGAGGCTGTACGGCTGTATCAGATTGCTTTTCCAAACCGAGTCCTCCACCTTTTGCCGCTGATTATCGTCCCGGTAATGAGACAGGGTTCGTGGCACCACAAACTATGGATCGAGGAAGTCCGAGATCAGCTCGTACGCCTAACCACGAAGAACACATTATACAGGCAGATCCAGGTATTAGCAACTCCCCTATCCTTATCATTTGCAACATGTGCAGGATTTTTCACCCTCTGATCACTCATCATGGTAGAACTTTTGTCGATGGTTTATTGCACAAACTGCCGATCCGTTTTTTTGTCTCTTCAATGTTATTTACGGATGAGCCAATATTTGGATGAGTTGGAATAACACATTTATTTATATAACCAACACTTGTGGCCGGATCGGAATCCCCATGGTACAATACAGGCTATACACAAGCATGTGTTTGCGATTAATGTGTGCACTGGGACTGTAGATGGCCCTCTGGTAGGTCGGTATGCTTTCACAACACGCTGTACAGGAGCTGTCTACATGGACTTTATTTCGAACACATTTCCAAACCTGCTAGAGGATGTACATCTGCTAATCCGAAGACGTATGTGGTTCATGCATGATGGGGCTACAGCACATTGTTACGCGATGAACTGACTGACCTTGAAAGATGGATAGATAGGGGAGGACCGTTTCCATGGCCTGCACGTTTCCTCGACCTCAATCCTTTGGATTTTTAACTGTGGGGCCACCTAAAAAACTTGTTAATGCAACAGACATTAATAATGCAGAAACGTTTGATCAACATGTCATGGAACGGTTGCTACGAAATATTTGATACGTTGTAAGAGTATTTGATAAAGTCCACCAGTCAGTCAATGATCCGATGGGGCGCATGCGTGTGTATAAGCAAGCGGAGGACATTTTGAACATTTGTTATGAGGTGCTGTGTTGAAGTACAAAGATGGTCTTTTGGACATATGTTTACATGGATGTTTTACTTTGTTTTGGTGTGAGGAACTCTCCCCTAAAGTGTTTAAAAATATTTTTATACACCCTGGATATATATGTATGGCTATATATATATAATCGAGTTCACTCCAAGCAAGACACTAAGGTCATTACGAAACAGTGGGTTACTGGGTGTGGAAGAATCAGAAAACAAAAAACTTTACTAAGGAACGAGAAAAAGAAGAAGAGTACTT